TCCTGATGGAGGAGCCAGGAAAGTGGTTTCCCGAGATGGAATCTACTCCTGGAGAGGATGCTGTGAAGACCGTAGAAACGACAACAAAGGATTGAGAATACAGCAGAAACCTAGTGGATAAAGCAGTGTTTGAGAGGATGGTCTCCGGTGTTGAAAGGAATTCTGGCGACTGGGGGTAAAATGCTCTTGAGCAGCACTGCACGCTACAGAGAAATCCCTCTTGAAAGGAAAAGGCAACCAATGTGGCAAATGTCATTGTTGTTTTACTTTAAAAACTTGTCACAGCCACTCCAAGCTCCAGCAACCGCCACCCCCATCAGTCAGCAGCCATCCACACGAGCGAGACCTTCTACCAGCAAAAACATTACGACTCCCCGAAAGCTCAGATGACGGTGAGCACTTTTCATAGCAATGAAGTAGTTTTATGTATTTATGTATTTATTTATTTGAGAGAGAGACAGAGATAGCAAGCAGGGAGGGGAGGGAGAAGCAGATCCCCAACTGAGCAGGGAGCTGGATGCGGGGCTTGATCCCAGGACCCTGGGATCATGACCTGAGCCCAAGACAAATGGTTAACCGACTGAACCACGCAGGTACCCCACAATAAAGTATTTTTAAATTAGGTGTGGGGCTCCTGGGTGGCTCAATCAGTTAAGCATCTGCCTTTGGCTCAGGTCATGATTCCAGGGTTCTGGGATCGAGCCCCACATCGGGCTCCCTGCTTGACGGGAAGCCTGCTTCCCCCTCTCCCATTCCCCCTGCTTGTGTTCTCTCTCTTGCTGTATTTTTCTCTGTCAAATAAATAAATAAGTAAAATCTTTTAAAATACATCCATCCATACATAAGGTGAATACACTGTTTCTTAAAGACAATGCTGTTGCACACTTAACGATTACAGTGTAGTGTATACATAACTTTTATATACACCAGGAAACCCAAAATTCATAGGACTTGCTTTATTGCACTATTCACTTTATCGCGGTGGTCTGGACAGGAACCTGCCCATCTCCGAGGTGTCTGGACTTCACACGCATGGACTTCCCAGTTTAATCTCGCCTTTCCTTCCCACCCTAAACCCTGGCCCTTCCTATCCTCCTCAAGAGACAGCAGCAGGACCAGTCAGCCCGCTATCCGGGCCCGGGAGGACAGCGGCATCCTGCTCTTCTCATGTACTCCAAGCCCTGCGTGCAATGAGCGCTGAGGTCCTGTGGCGGTTTTCTGCCCGGTGTTTCCCCTACCTGGCCCCTCCTGCACACGCTCTCGACCGCTACCTGCGTGCAGAATGTCCCCGCACCTCACCCGGGATATTCAAAGCTCCCTCACTGTTCTTGCTGCTTTCCGAGGGGACCCTCAAGCCATCCTTCACACGGCCGGCAGGGGGCCCCACCACCTCTGAAAGCTGCTGTAGTGGGGGGCGCGGGAGGGGCAGAGGGAGGGAGAATCCCAAACAGGCTCCCCGCTCAACACAGAGCCCCAGGCGGGCTCGACCTCACCACCCTGAGATCGTGACCTGAGCCAAAATCAGGAGTCGGAGGCTTAACCACTTGAGCCGCCCAGGCGCCCCTGGAAGCTGATCCTTTAGCAGCTCCGTGCAGCCTTTCAGAAGTCCAAATCCCTGAATTTAGCACACAGAGCGGAACTTCATAATATGGCTCTGCCCACCTACCCAGGTTCACCGGCCCCCTCTCCCCACGTGCAGATACTCCTGTGCAGTCCATTCCCTTTGCCTGGCACCCTCTTCCCACTTTCTTAAAAAAAAGTTCAAAAAACCCCAAAGCATGTTGGTAAAATAGATAAAACATTCACCATTTGAATCTAGTTTTCTTTTTCTAGATGATTCCTATTTATCCTTCAAATTCAGCTCTAGTGTGACCCCTTCTGAAAAACCCTTCCTGAGTCCTCAGGCTGGGGTAGGTGCCCATCTTTTGTTCTACCAGTATCTTAGTTCTTAACACATTGTACTCTGTGTTAGCATCTGTCTCTTTTTATTACAGACTCCCTAAGAGAGTCTGTGTCTTTTTTTTTTTTTTAAGATTTTATTTATTTGAGAGAGAGGGAGCACGCACAAGAAAGAGCACATAAGCTGGGGTGGGGGGAGTGGCAGAGGAAGAGGGAGAAGCAGACTCCCCACTGAGCTCGGAGCCTGACACGGGGCTCAATCCCAGGACCCTGAGATCATGACCTAAGCCGAAGGCAGATACTTAATGACTGAGCCACCCAGGCAGTCTGAGAGTCTTTGTCTTATTTAATTTTGCATCCCTAAGGCTTCAGTGTGCAGTTGTACAGGTTATGCACTGCACCAGGATTTCTGCTTGAGGAATTGAGTAGGGGATGAAGACAGTTAGCCAACAGTGCACTCTGGGACAGGGCTGTATCCAAGCTTTTTTCTATTTGCACAAAGATGCCATAGAGGACATCAGGGGCCCCCATATATACCTTGAATATAGGCCTTGTTACAGAACTGGCACACAGTATTATAGTGGGTGCTTATTAAATGTTAAATTGAGTAACGACAGATGGATGGATATTTTAGACAGGTACCAAAGAAAGGCATGGTGGGGAAGCTTGGGGCCAGTTTGTAGAGGGTCTAACCCTTAGTCCAGAAGGCAAAGAGGAAGCTTTGAAAATTTTTGAGATGACTGTGACTTAGACTTGCAAACTACTCAGGCTTGAAAAGGAGACTCAGAGAAGTGAAGTGACTTGTTCAAGGTCACACAGAACATTTCTGGCTGAGCTCGGACTTGAACTGGCTTCTCTCGCCCCCAGCTCTCTGCTGGCTCTTTCACACGCTCTCCAGGGAAGCCTGCCAGAACCAAGGCAGAGTCCTCTGAGTCTCCAAGAAAAGTCTTCCCAGCCTTCCCGACACACTCCTGGCAATGGAGGGTTGGGGGCTGATAGCTGGGCTAGAGGCCAGGGAGAAAGCCTCCTGCATTGCCCACCCCTTGTCAGTCTTCAGGTTTGCCTACTTGAAGGTGGGCAATCACCAGCCAGGTTTCCGCTCTTCATACAAGACGAGTGCTCTAGTGTCTGGAGCCTCTTTTTCCCTAAGAAGGATTTCCCTCCTTGCAATCCTTCTGGCTGCTCTTCTATGGGCCCTGACCAATGTTCTCAGAGACTTCCAGAACCACTCTGCTTGGGCTGATGGGCCTGGCCCACAGCGGTCTTCACAAGGGCATGTGGCGTTTATCTGAATGGAGCGTGGGGACTGATCTAACCCAGGGGTCTCCCTGAGGAGACGTCTTGGACGTCTTGGAGCATGTCTCATGCCGCTGGGACGTCTATCATCTGTGGTCCGTTGTGTTCATGTTATGATCTTCCGTGACCCCTGATTTTCCTTCTGGCTCCTTCCTCCAGGGCCCCTGGTCCAGCTCTCTCTGGTGGTTTCTCAGTACTCTGGACCCTGAAGAAAGGACTTTATCCTTTTCCATTTTCAACTTCATTTCTCTAGTTTTGCAGAGAGATTTGACTTCCCAACCTTTGTCACCAGTTAGAGGAGCTCTGTCCTTTGGCGCAGATGACAATGAGGATGGTAACATTATCCTCACGGATATGTCAAATGTGTGCTCCTCTCCAGACATTGCACTTGCTGCCTTTATAAAAATTAGCTCACTAGAGCCTCACAGGAATTCCACGGGGTAGAGCTCCCAGTAGCCCCATTTTACAGATGAGGAAAACTGAGGCACACTGGATTGAGCAACTTGCCCAGGGTCACCCAGCTGAGACCTGTATAGGGGCAGTGATGGCCAGAGTGTGCTTACATCGAGACACCTAAGGCTGCTGAGGTCACAGATACAAGGGAGTCTCTCATCCGAGCAAGCGGGTCTGGGGGCTACCCACCGTCGCTCTCAGGCTGCGCCTTCCCTAACCTGCTCCATCCTCCTACAGGATGGCCCCAGCATCCTAACAAGCAGAGAGAACAAAGCCTGCCCACGAGGCCCACCTGGATGACAGGTAACTCCCCTCCTTGACAGCTGTGTCTAAACCTTTCCACTCTATCACAAGAGGCTCTCTAATTGATCTGGCATAATTAGCTCTTTACAAAGTCATCATAATTTCCAGTGAGCGGTGACAAACTAATTGATGGATGATTTTAGTCCACAGCTTTACTAGGTATGAACTTAAGTGTAATTAACTATCATTAATTAACAGAACACTTTTTCTCTTTAAATATACAAATGAGGCAGGCTCCACACTTATCCCTCGTCTGCCTCCACGATGCCTGAACGAGAAGGCTAGAGGCTCTGTCAGAAGCCAGTCCCTTAAGTGTTTCACGTTGGGGCTGTCCGTATTTGAAGACGTTCGCCTCCTGCCTCCTTTCCTCCTTTCCATGTCTCGTTTCCTATCTGTCCACTCCACAGGTAACCTTTCCCTGACTTTTGGGTAAAGGCTGAGATAAAAACAAAACAAAACGAACCCAGAGCCTCTGATTCTCCACAGTCACTTGCAAGCAGCCCTCTCCCACCCCTCAAAGGGGTGACATTCTCTTTGGATTTCCTCTTTTCCTTTCAGTGGTCAGCTCCCCATTACCTGCCTCTGTGGGCTGCTATTCAGAGCGGAGGCCAGGCTGCTCAGGGCAGGGACGCTCGGTGGGGGGCTTGCCTCACAGGGCCTCACTCCCCGCTGGGCAAACCGTCCCTGCTTTTGATTATTTTCATCAGTGCTTCTCTTCACTGGGGCGGAAAACGGAGACGACCGCCTCACTGAGGAATACTTCCCTGGCACCCTGTTCTTAGACACGGCTTGGCTCAGCTCTCAGGGACAGAAAGGCTTCCCCTGTCACGCACGTGGTGCCTTAAGGCCCCGTGTGCCCTCTCAGGATTTAGGTTTCTCGTCCCCAGTCCCGTCATTCTGGTTTTCTGCCCCTTCCCTCCTCATTCCCCAAATTCCTGGACACGTCGCCCAGGAACAAAGCCAGAGGGTAAACACCGTTTCCTGCAGTGACCCAGGACGGACGAGCAGGGGGGACAGACAGCTACCAGCTGCCAGTGCCCGACACTCACCATGGTTTGTCCCTTGATCCTTTTGCAGAAAAGACCGTGTGCTGTTTGCTGCTGGAGGTAAGGAGATTGTCTTTGGGCGTTTTGAATGGCTTTGAGGTGCTGCTGGCAGAGTTCTGGCCGCTGAGACAGGCTTTAGTTTTCACCTGTACTAACGATGTCCTGGAATTGGAGGGTGGAGATGCCGGAGAGGGAGAAGGCCTACACATTGACCCGTGTCTTCTCTCTGCAGAGAAAGAAAGAAGAGAACTCAGCACATCACGGGTAGCAAGCGAGCCCCACATGCTCACGCACACTCAAATACCCAAGAGGCAAAGAGGAAAGCGTCTATCTTGCAGGGTCGGGACCCCAAAGCCCCAGTTCTGACTACGATTCTGTCTGGACATCTGCTCCTATCCCACCAACAAGGAGTGACGACGTTCTGAATTCTTCTATCAGATGGCACGTTCAGCTAATACCCGGCTTCTCAAGGAGGCGTCCACCGGGCTTGCTTCCTGCAAAACCAGCCCCAGAGGACTAGCAGAGGGCACCAGGTGTTCCCAGAACACCGTGGGGCAACCATACAGCCCAAGTGATCCCCAGACAGCTCCTTGGAGGCCACAAGATCCCTCAGCAGCGGGTAGAGCAGGGCTCCAAGAGAACAAATACGAAATTCTTGAACCTGACCCCCTCCCCCCCACCCCCCAGCAGGAGCATGAAGGTCAGAAGGACCAGGAGGGCTGAATGAAAGGGTCTTTGAATGCCAGGAAGTGGCCGGGCTTCTGTCTACGTGCCCCTGCAGCCTCTCCAGGGCTCACTGAGGGCCAGGCCCCAGCTGCTGGGCTCGGACCCACAGAAGAACATCCGTGCTTGAGGGAGAAGTCACAGATGTGGGGCTGGGTCTAGGTGGATGCGCACAGCTTCCTGAGGTTCTACAGAAAATACTAGAGTTCTCGGCAGATAAGCCTCACTTGTTCTCCCACCGTCAGCCCGTGTGGTCTCGACTCAATGGGCAGGATGGGGATGCTGACCAGGATGACAGGTGCAAGATGTCAAGTCCTTAACTGTTGCAGGGTAACGGGTCTGATCCATGCTAGGGAACCCCCTCTCAAGAAAAACGTGCACTTACACACGCACGAAAACTTCATACACAATTATAGGAGGAATCCTGGACCCCCAAAAGACAAAGGCTCTGAAATCTTAAGTTCCTTCTGGCTCTCTGGGGCCCCCATACAGTGAGGGGGTCCTGTTCGTTCAAGTGCTGAATAAAGAAAATTACATCAGACGTCCCGATGTGGGGCACCTGCCCGGCTCAGTGGGTAGGGCACGCGACTCTTGATCTTGGGGTTGTAAGTTCGAGCCCCAACCACACTGGGGGTCGACATTACTTAAAAAATAAAATCTTCCAGGGCGCCTGGGTGGCTCAGTGGGTTAAGCCTCTGCCTTCGGCTCAGGTCATGATCTCAGGGTCCTGGGATCGAGGCCCGCATCGGGCTCTCTGCTCAGCGGGGAGCCTGCTTTCTCCTCTCTCTCTCTATGCCTGCCTCTCTGCATACTTGTGATCTCTTTCTCTCTGTTTCAAATAAATAAATAAAATCTTTAAAAAAATAAGTAAATAAGTAAATAAAATCTTCCAAAAGAAAAAAGAAAAAAAAAAAAAAAAGATGTCCTGATGGGAAGAACTAGACATCACAGATCTGGAAATCTGGGCTGAACGTGACAATGAACAAGGTGGGAGCTGAAAATGACAGTCCACGTGGTCCCTCCATCTCCAAGCTGGGTATCAGGCTTTTCTCATGAGTGAGACACTTCTGGCAGTAAGTTATTCCGGGTACCTGGCCTAGGAGGAGAAAGCCAAGTCCACTTGGTGACTGGGAATGGGCTCTTGGGGGTTTCTCTGGGTTCCCTCACACTGATGGGCTGCCGGACTGTCTCATGCAGACTGACTCTCATCCTCTGATGAAGTGGGGCCTGGGGGAGAAGCGGATTTTCGAGCACCATCTGATTGCTGAGGGTACTTCTGCCTGACCAGTGCTTGTAGGTTGCCTATACTCAGGAACTTTCCTGGGTAGTTTTTCTTCATTGAGTCAGAGCAGACCCTGCATCCACGCTCCGATCCTAGAACCATCCTGCTGTAGGTTTTACAAACCAAGAGCTGGTCCCAGGGCATCTGTTTTGAAGTAGTGGGAGAACCCTGGGCTGCGAGCCAGGGACCGAGGCTCCAACTCCAGCCACCCCGCAGTCCTGGGCCTCTGGCCTGGAGTCCGCCACTCGCGCAGTCTCAGTCTCCGTGTCTTTATCTGTAAATGAAGAGGGTCCCTAGGTGGCTTCTAAGGTCTCTTGCCTCTCCATTACCATAAATATAAGGATACTTACACCTGCTGCTTCTCTCCTCATCCCTCATGATTCCCGAATATTATGGCAATAATTACAGCTGAAGTATTGAAATATTTTACCCAGTCAGGGTCTTCCTTGGAGGAATTCATCCTTTGTGAAATTGGACTGGCCTTTACAACCCGGGCGAGACAGGCAGGAAGCAGCCAGCGTCTCCACCCTCCTCACGGCTGACTGGCCAAAGAAGACCCAGAGCGGCGAGGTGACTCGCCAAGGTCAGGGCCAATGGCTACGCGAGGAATGGGCCTCTGTGCCGTGTGCAGGGGGCCGAGTGGTTTCTCAGGAAGACAGGAAATGGGGTGTACTGCGACCAAGATTTGGAGCCAGGAAATTAGGAAGTGCAGGACTCAGAATCACAGAAGATCAGAACTGGATCGAAAGTCAGCTGGTCCGATCTCCGTGCTGATGGACGAGGCTACAGGGGCTATCGGTTACCAGCCTGCAAGGTGAAGCCAGTTGGGGGCCACGCCGAGACCAGAACCAAGTCTTCTCGCTTCAAATCCATAGTTCTTGCTGCCCTTCCGGAGGCTTCCAGAATGAAAATACGACTCTGATGTTTACCACCACTGTTTTGACATTTTTGACATTTTCATTTACTCACTTGCTGATCACTTGCTCAAGCTGACACAGTGGGGTTGGGGGGTGGGGGAAGGATGTGCAGAAATAGTTCTCAGCTCTGGGGGAGAGGTGGGCTTTGATAACGAAGAGAAATTTTGTTTTGCTAAACTAAGAGTTAAAAATAATACAAGTAAATGGAGAGAGACAAATACCATATGATCTCACTCATATGTGGAATTTAAGAAACGAAACAAACAAAGTAAAAAAACAAAAAACAGACTCTTAACTAGGGAAAACAAACTGGTGGTTGCCAGAGGGGAGGTGGGCGGGGGGGATGGGGGAAATAGGTTATGGGGATTAAGATTAAGAGTATACTTGTCGGGCGCCTGGGTGGCTCAGTGGGTTGAGCCGCTACCTTCAGCTCAGGTCATGATCTCAGGGTCCTGGGATCGAGTCCCGCATCGGGTTCTCTGCTCGGCAGAGATCCTGCTTCCCTCTCTCTCTCTCTGCCTGCCTCTCCATCTACTTGTGATCTCTCTCTGTCAAATAAATAAATAAAATCTTTAAAAAAAAAAAAAAGAGTATACTTGTCATGGGGTGTCCCGGGGGGCTCAGTCGGTGAAGTGTCCATTGCTTGAGTTCAGCTCAGGACGCTGAGATGGAGCCCGGTGTCAGGCTCTGTGCTGGGCATGGAGCTTGCCTAAGATTCTTTCTCTCCCTCCCACTCTGCTCCCCACCTAACTCGCGTGCCCTATTAAAAAAAAATAAAGAGTACATTTGTCCTGGTAAGCAGGGGTAACGTACAGAATGGCTGAATCACTATATTGTGCACCTAAAACTAATATAACACTGTATGTTAACTCTACTAGAATTATAGCTTTTAAATAATAATAATAATAGTAAACAAAGATAAATCACAAGGAAGGGTGTGATTAAGGACAAAATGAATGAGCCACACCAATGATTCTAAAATCACCTTCTCACGGAACTCTGTTTAGTGACCCAGCCAAAACGTTCCACTCCTAAATTCACAGAAAAAAAGGAAATCAACAGATATGCTTATTTCTTGGTTTTTAGTTCCATAAATTCTCCTCAAATGACCAATTAGAAGAACAAGTTGTAAAGGAGAGAATTACTCATCAAAACCTGAAGATAGCCCTTTACCCTTAATTTAAAAAAAAAAGTGTGATTTTGAATTGTAATAAACAGATTAAAGCAGGGTTTCCTATTGAACTATTCCTTATTGTTCAGACAGGAGTAAATGTACCACTCTTTCAAGGTACCCCACAAAGAGACCCGTACTTCTGTCCCCTGAGCTTCGAGAACAAGCTTGGCAGCCACTGGTACGAGCGAGAAAGACTGTGTACGGATTTAAAGTGGGGAGCCCGGGTCACAGTGATCAGAGCCTCCCTTAGTAGGAGAGCCGCACACTTCACTCGGCGAAGCTTTTGAAAATGGGGAGAACTGATGTCCTGGGTAGCGCGGAGTGAGTAGATTTTTCAGAAAGATCCAATTCCTATTCAATCGGTATTCCTCTAGTCTGGGATGACCCGCCCGTGGAGAACTCACATGGTTTTGTCTTTTGGTGGAGAGGTGGGTGGGCTGCTGATAGAGGCAGACGGAGTCCCGGTTTCTCGTAAAAAGGTACTCTGTGCGGGGACAATGTCCTTGGGTAAAGATTTATGACAATCATTCTGACACGAGTCCTCACCTACCCTGGGCTTATTTTTTTCTGTTTTGGTCAAGGTACAGCCTAAGGTAGATCTTTATAATTATACTTATTCCACCTGCCCTGCCCAGGAAGAGTTTATAGAACATTGAATTTTTTATTCACTATTAAAATACATTATAGACTTTTACATTTTTTTTAGAGAAAAATTCTTTTTCTCCAATTTATCTTTCTTTTTTTTTTTTTTAAGATTTTATTTATTTATTTGACGGAGAGATCACAAGCAGGCAGAGAGGCAGGCAGAGAGAGAGGGGGGAAGAGCAGGCTCCTCACTAAGCAGAGAGCCTGAAGCAGGGCTTGATCCCAGGACCCTGAGATCATGACCTGAGCCTAAGGCAGAGGCTTTAACCTACTGAGCCACCCAGGCGTCCCTCTTTCTTTTTTAACGTAAATAGATGCATTAGCAAAATGGCAATCAATTGCTGTTTTGGATTATTCTTTTTCAACTACCGTTATTCTATTTATATGCTACTGATTCTCATATACCAGTCAGTTAAAATGGTTAGTAACAGTCAATCATTGCTCTATATTATTGAGCCACTTTTTAAGCCATGTGCTTACTATCT